TGGAGCAAGTTATAAGTCTGAGCATGAAGAAAAAACTTGATTTTAAAAAGAATATGTCAGAGAAGCAGGGAATCTAGTAAGATACATAATTTCTCTGTCAGTTCTTTGTACAGCAGATCTCCATAGTTCCTACTCACTCCATCCTTCAGGGATTATGAAAATGTAAGAGTCTCTGCCACACACAATGGTCTCTTCAGAGATACTTACAAGAAAGTTTTAATTGCCTTTGGTAATTAACAGCTAAGAAAAAGTTGAAAGTTCTTGGCTCCCAAAGCCTATGCTGTCATTGCCACTACAGATGAAAAAGGTAATTGCAGTTCTGAGGGGAGGTGAGGTCACAGTATCACAAACTTATATCTCAGGGTCCCTCTGTGTGCTTCTCTCCTGTGCTGGCTGTCCTGACCAGTACACTGAGCACAGCATCTTTGCAGGGAAGGAGTCAGGTGAGTATTTTGTATTTCACTTTGTGAGGCAGAGAAGTAAGGGAAGGAAATCTGAATAAGTACTCAGGTCTACAAAAAGGATTCACAAAGGTGGAAAGAAGGAATGACTCTTTAGGTATTAGCTGAGATAGTAAAGAGAAATGAAGCTCCCGTAACCTAGGCCAACTCCTAATGGCTCCTAATGTAACTAAATGAAATCTTCACTGACAATTATTATGAGTGAATCATGCAGTGATTATGATGTGCTTAAGGATGAAATATTTCAGCAGTTCATGTAACCTTACCAGAAGCAAAGGTTAAACTGACAATATTAACAGTATGCTTGTCATGTACTCCTGGGCATACAAAAAGGTAGAGTAGGATTGTAAAATTACCTCATGCTGTGCAGAAACCATGTATGTGAAATCATTTCTGGAATTAAAAAAGTGTTTTAAATTTACCTCTGCATATATGATATACTTAGCAGAGGCGGTGATTGTCACTGACTGAAGACATCTGTACTCTGATGAACATGACAAAAGCACTTTCTTATATTTATGAAAGCAGCATATAAGGAAAAAGGAACTTTATTATTGTGGGTTTCAGACAACAGCTGTTTTCCCTATTGAGTTGTGGAGTTCATTTTCCTATGTTATCAACATTTACAATGTTTAGCAGTAGAATCTCCAGATTCCATTTTTACATATATCTCTTGTTTTTTAATATATTTCACACATCTTATTTCATTGTTAGTAGTTTAACTTAACTCATGCAACAGTTAACTGATAAGTAAATGTCTGGAAATTGGCAATAATTAAACTTCCATCCTATATTACATATTACATATTAGTATGTCATGTATCACATGTAGGAGGAAAGCAGTGTTGCTCAGCAATTTCATAAAAGATGCTAAAGTCTATTTCCTTCAGTAAAGTCAGAAAGTGAATCTTTCTAATACCAAAACAATATTGAGTCAACTTTGTATCCCATAAATACAGCTTCCAGACAGGGCAGTTTCTTATAGGGTTTAATTATGATTAATCTATATTTTATTAAGATTTTGCAGACTCTATTCATATTTGATAATGAATGATATGGTCAATTGCTATGCAGAAATGGAAACTGGTTTGATCAAAATGGTAAAAAATGCCAATGACATAAAAATGACAAAGTATTTTTAAAAAACGAATTACAGATATGGATTAGTTGAAACACATTTGGTATAGTGTTGTTAGTTTAGCACAGTGGTTGGGATACTGACTTTCCAACCTGCCTGATCAGATTCAAGTCTCCACTCTGCACCTGAGTAGTAAGAGAATGTAGAGCGATCACTTAACTTCTCAGTATCTAAATTATACATACTCTGCAAAAAATTATATCACTGGATAAATCACACCATTATGCAAATTGAAGAAAGCATCAAATATGGACCATTATGACAGAGAGTCATACATTATAACTAATACTGAAAGGTGGTACCTTCTGGGAGGCTCTTAACAAAACAAAACTATACATGATGATTCTCAATGAGAATATTGGATTTGGGTTGATACAATCAGTGTACCCCACATCTCTTGTTCCCTGTGTCATCCTCTGTGCTAAGATGAATATCAGTACTGGAAGTGACAGAATGGCCTCCAGGGATTAGACAAGAAGAACATCCACTTTGTCAGAATGCAGTTGGAATCCTGATCTCTCTTCATCACTATGCCTTCCTTTGTGTATCATTGACTGCAGAGAGATATCATTGATTTGATTCGGAAGCACAGGAATGTAGCCACCTGTTTCAAAGTACATCTAATGCACACCTCTACACTTAGCATCAAGACAGTCACAGGCAGATGCTGTGTTGGAAGACTCCATCAGGTATTTTAGATTAAAACATTTTCTTTTTCCTCAGAGTTAGCAGATGTGTCCCCTGATGCCACCTGTGTCTTTTCTTGAATCAATATTTTGCTATGTAGTCTAAGCTGGCCACAAACTCTCTATGTAGCCCCTACCTAAACTGAAACATTTGTCCTCCTATAAAAACCTCAGGAAGCTAGGAAGATAGGTAAAAATTATGGAAAGTTCAGGACTTTCAAAACTGTATAGCCTAATTTAGAACATCTCAGGTTAGACCTCTCACTCATTCAGGCCCTCTGAGCCCAGAGAGCTCCATTTCAATTGCAAATCCTTTGTTAAACTTAGAAAGAGTGGAAATTTTCTCCTTCATGGACTTAGTGTACCTGAAAATTGGCATAAATGTATTCCACCCAGATCTTCCCCCAGCCTAAAGGTCATTGAAGACAGGAGTGATGCAGGTTTTCTCCCAACCTCCAAGTAAAGAACAGCATAAAAATGACCAAAAATAAAAATCTTTCACTTTTTCCAGAACGCATCTCCTCCATTCCACCTGGCAGAGATCCCCCCACCTGTAATCCCCTTCCCATTTACCTATAATAAAATCCGTTATTTCTCTTATTACATCCATGTGTTCTGCTTGGATTCTTCCTTGCTAGAGCATACAAACTGAAATCTTCTGATCAGCAATATCAGTGACCACTGGCATGAGTCACCATGCCTTATAGCACATTGTGAGTCTCTCAAGTCATCAAGATGATGCCACAGGACTACAGGGGTTAGAACTTCACATAGTCTCCCAATTACGGTGGATTGTTCATTTCTTCCTACTGGATTCTGTATTACTACTTATTATGGTTTATCCCATGTTTAGGAATGCATAATACACCAAAAAAAGCATCACAAATCAAAATTGAGTCAAAAAAGACTGGTGGGGTCTAGGGCAAAATAAGAGACAATACTCAAAACATTGCTATTATCTAGGGAAATCCTGGGGATTATGATGTGTGTGTGTGTGTGTGTGTGTGTGTGTGTGTGTGTGTGTGTTTCATAGGGTCCAGACACAATAGGAGTCCATATTCACCCTAATGTCATTTCTCCCAAATGTATCCTGTACCTTCTTTTAGTGTATGTACTTATAAAGAACAAGTTATCACGTCTAATGGAACAACTGAGTATACAGTTTTTATGTAACACACAGATCAAGAAACAGTATTGTCAGGATCCCAGAGCGCCCTTCTGTCTCCTCTGTATTGCTACCCCTAAACTTATATTTTGTTGCATATGTTTGTAGGAGTGGAACTTTTTGGGCATAGGATTGTATCTATTCTAATTAGCATTTAATATATCGATTACTCTTGCCCACTTGGTACTTTACATAAATTCTTTCTGTGAATTCATTCATATGCATTTCTTGATAGTTTTAAAGAAAATCTCTTTTGTTTTGGGAACCCTCAACCTCAGTTTTTGGGTAATAACTTTTCTTCTTGAATCATGCATACAGCCCTTGTGTTTGTATTTTGTTTTTGACAAAGGACCTTGCTGACTTCTTGAGGGCTGGCCTTGAATTTATGAACCTCTTGCTTCAGCCTCCCAAATAGCTGGGATTATAGGCATGTGTCAACATCGCTGGCTTGGAGATTTATCTTCTCTATCATTAAATATCACTGGTGATATTTATTAAGCAATGCTTTTTGGAGTCCCATGTATGAATGTCTAACAATTTAATTATGCTGTTCATGGACATGTGGGTCCTTGGAGTCTGAGCACCTTAATGTAAAAAATATTGCTAGTATTTGCAGTGTGTTAATGATCTTTCAGTAAATGTGTATGAATTTCCATTGAGTAAGTTCATAGAAATGAACTTATTGCAACATATATTTGCATATGATAAACTAATGCAGATATTGCCAATTTTCCAAAATAATTGTACTCATGTTAACACACAGAGAAATGTGTAAGTCCTTCATCAACCTACGTTCTTGTCAAACAAAATGTTTCATGTCAGTTAGTGCTCCAGACAGTATACCACATACTGGATTTATTTGAATTTTACTAATTTCTAAAGACATTGAATAGTTTCCATGTATTCATTATACAAAGACTAATTGCATATTTGACATTCCAGCTGTAACATTTTGCCATTTTTTAATTTCCTTGTATAACATGCAAGAGCTCTTCATGATGGATACTAATGTTTCTCTCTTTCCCTCTTTTCTGTCTCTGCTTCTGTCTCTTTGTGTTTCTTTCTCTATATCTCTCCCTTTTTATAAAAGTATATGTGGAGTTTGATAAAAATAGTTCTTAGCTTCAGTATAATTTAATTTGTCATTCGCCCATGTGGATATTGTATTTATAAGAAACATTTTCTGTTTATACTGCAGAAATATTTCTCCTAAGCAATTTAATATTGATCTTAAATATTTACATTTGAAATTCACTCTGAGCTGGTTTATTATTTGATGTGGGTAGTGATAGAGGTTCTTCTATTTCTAGTATAACTAAAATAAATTTAAGCTTAGGGGATGGAGATTGTTTATGAAAAGATGGTATTATGCTTCCTTTCCATGTGATATCACTTGTATTTTCTCCTCCAGATTAACACCAGCTGGTCCTTAGTGACGAATCCCTATGAAATATACTGCGATTTTGCCCCATCTCTTCCTGCTTCTTGAAATCTTTGTCAATCACAAAAGTACACATCAACAAAGTTATTCTCAGTGTCAAACTTCCACAATGAGTCCTTGTGCTTGGAGGAATGATTGCAACCATAATTTAAGTGAAAATGTAGTCAATGATAAATTAGACTCTGGGGATCTGACAATAGGAATGATCTTCTTGTCACAGACTGTCATTGGAATCCTGGGCAATTTCTCCCTTCTTTACCATTATCTTTTCCATTACCACACTGAAAGCAGGTGGAGGTCAACTGATTTGATCCTCAAGCACCTGCTCATTGCCAACTCCTTACTCATTGTTTCTCTAGGAGTTCCTCACACAATAGTAGCCTTAGGGTTGAAACATTTCTTCACTGATTTTGACTGCAACCTTCTTCTGTATGTTCAGAGAGTGGGCAGGGGCGTTTCCATCAATACCACCTGCCTCTTGAGTGTTTTTCAGGCGATCACTATCAGTCCCACAAACTCTTGTTGGAAAGATCTTAAAGTAAAAGCTCCAAAGTACATTGGCTTCTCCATTTCCTTCTGCTGGATACTACACGTGGTGGTAAATTTCATTTTTCCTCTGTATATGTTGTGTGTTTCTGGAGAAGAGAGCAGCAGAAATATCACAAAGAAAAGACATACGGGTTACTGTTCCATAGGTCATGGGAAAGTCGCCAGCTCCATGTATACAGCACTTATAGTGTTCCCTGAAGTTTCTTTTTCTGCACTTATATTCTGGGCCAGTTGTTCTATGATTGTTCTCCTATACAGACACAAAAAGAAGTTCCAACATATTCATAGCACTAAGGTTTCTTCCAGGTGCCCTGAGTCCAGAGCCACCCGAAGCATCTTAGTTCTGGTGAGCACCTTTATATCATTTTATACCCTCTCCTCCATGTTGCACATTTCTATTGCTCTTTATAATGACCTCAGTTGGTGTTTGTTGAAGATTTCTGATCTAATTTCTGTGTGTTTTCCAACTATCAGCCCCTTTCTAATCATGAGCCAGGATTCCTCTTATTCCTGGTTGTGTTTTGGGTACATAAAGAACACAAAACTCTTTAATCTTTTCATAAATACATAAATGTATATTTTGCACAATTACTTCTCACTAATCTCATAAGAAGGCAATACAGAAAAGGAAGTAGAGGCTACAAATCTTTCTGATGTTGACTAATGAGCATATCAGCAGCTCAATATGAGACCTGCATGAGAATAATAGAGGTAAATAAAACAGGCTAGGCATAATTCTGGTCCACAGTATTCTGATCACATCATTTACTGAGCAGCTTCTTACTGCAATTTAAATAAAAATTGTCCTAAATATTGCTTTTAATGTGTCATGATGTTTTTCTCAGTTGTTTGCAGATGGGAACAGTTGTCCAATTGAATACAGTAAAAAAAATGGGTCATAGATATTGTGCAATGATAGTTTTCTCAGGTTATTTTGTGTATGTACATGGGTAATTTTTGCTGTGGATTCTCTTTTTATGTTTCTATGCTAAAGAAGAGCTTTGAATGATGGGAATACTGTCAACTTTTGGAACAGAATACAGATTTATTTAGTGTGCAATATACAAGGTGAGAAGAATTTTTCAGTTTCATAAAAAGTTATACCCAAGAAGCCTCCAGATCTTTTACCAGCATCAAAAGAAATCCTGTGAATAGGTGAGAGAGCCTTCAAAGTGTTGGGTCTGGGAACCTAAAGGACAGATAAGTGAGTCATTATCCCATCCCCATGGAGAGAACCATGAGCCCTGCACCCTGAGAAGGAGATACATGGCTTCATAAATCTGCATTTGTGCACCCTAGGGAGAAGTTACAGGATCTTATAAACCTGCCAGGGGGGTAATAGATAGATGCTTTCAAGGTTGTTTCTCCCAATAAGGGGCAAATAGACCAGCTCATTGAAGAGACTCCATGGGTGCAAATCCACAGCCAATGGACAGAACCCACCTAACCCTTATCCTAACCCAAGTTAAAGTGTCCATAAAAAGCCCCAGTCTTCACCTGAGCAGGGAGCCACCGGTTTCCGGGCTCAGCTGCACTGCTCTAGCTGCAGCCTTTCCTTTCTTTCTAATAAATCCTACTTTGTATTCCGACCTTGTTGTCTCATGAGTCAATCTGCTGCCTCATGAGCCAATTCTTTGACCTGTGAAGGCAAGAACTCTCAACACTGGCCCACAACAAAAGGTTAAATGACATTTGGGATTGTGTTAGAACTACAGTAACCATGCCAGCTTCCCAGCACTGTGAATGTTGGTTGCCAATATTCTGGAAAACTCCTTTCTTATATAGGAAAAAGTTGAAATTAGAGTAACAAAGCCAACTTCAAAGTTGTCCTACTACAATGTCCATGCTCCAGATACCATGACTTTTGATATCTCAGGGCCTTATCCCCCAACCAGATGGTGCTTGCTAGACATGTTAAAGCTTCCAGAAAATGTCCATGTGGAAGGCTGAGGAAATAAGTGACTATATTTGTATCTCTGTGACTCAAAGATGCAGGTTTTGGTGAACCAGAATAATGATTTAATTCACACTAAAGGGACAGATGTTCCTCAGATAGTATAATCAGGAGAGCATCGAGGAGAGAATATAGACCTGGGACCTCAAAGCCCTGAGGTCTCTCCGTACCAGACACAGACATAGAACAAAATCTTAGGCAATGACACATTTTTTCATTTCTTTGGCAAAATTCCTGAGATTGGGTAATTTATGGAGAAAAGAGGATTATGTATCTTGTGTTTTGGAGGTTCAAGAAGATGTTACCACATCTTCTTGGTTGTGCAGTAACCACAAAACAGTGGTGGACTGCCTTGATGCTGGATGCTGTCATGGCAGGACTATGTGAGAGAGGGAAAAATCACATGATGAGAGAAGAAGCAAGCGAGTCAAAGAGGTGGTCAGCTTTGATCCTTTATAAAAACCCTCTCCAAAGAACTAACAGGCTTCCACAAGGAGCACGTTGTTTCCAAGAGCAAAGTGCTCTCGCACTTGAACCAATTGGCCAGCCTTTTTTGTGTTTGTTATTTTCAAGATTAGGGGTTTTCTATATGTCTGGGCTTGCCTGGACTGTGATCCTTCTATTTGTGCTTCCCTACATGGCCAGGGATGATAAGTTCTTGCCAACACACCCAGCCATTGATTGAGATTGCCTCTTATGAACTTTTTCCCTGAGCTGGCTTCAAACCATAATCCTCCCAATTTCTACCTCTCCAAGTAGCTAGGATTGTCATGGCTGGCAGTAACATCTTTTTGAATAGGATTTTAATTGCTCAGGAAATAAGAGCAAGAATTGATAAATGGGATTGTAACAAATTAAAAAGTATCTGACATCAATGGAAACAATTGCCAGAATGAAGAAAGAACTTACAGACTGGGAGAAAAATCTTTGCCAACTATTTAATAAAGGATTAATATCTAAAATATATAAAGAGCTAAAAAATTAAATATCAAAAGAACAAATGATCCAACTAATAAATGGGAAAATGAATAGAACTGAAAATTCTCAACAGAATTACAAATAACCAGTCCATGGAGAAATGTAAATCAAAATAACACTGAGATTTCATCTCACCCATTCTGAAGGCAATCATCATAAAAAGAGGCAAAAACAAATGCTAAGAATATAGGAAAAATGAATCCTTATACGTGGTAAGAGGGAATGTAAATTAAGCAGCTACTATGGAAATCAGTATGGAGGTTCCACAAGGAACTGAAAGTAGAATGACAATATGACCCTCCAATACCAGAAAGAATGTAAGTCAGCATAAAATAGAGAATCCTGCACACCCATGTTTATAGCAGCACTATTCAGAATGGCCAAATTGTGGAATCAGCCTAGGTGTCCATTGACCAATGGATGGATGAAGAAAATGTGGTACATATACACAATGGAATATTTAACTATGGAGAAGAAAGTAATTTTGATATTTGCAGGAAAATGACTCATGATACCATTTTTCAGGAACTAGTATCATAATATTAAGCAAAGTAAGCCAGACTAAGAAAGAAAAAGATCACATATTCTACTGCATGTATGGAATACAGATGTAAAAAAAAAAGGCCCAAAGGTAAAATGTGACAACTTCTGGGGAACTAGTGGGATGGGAGAGAATGAAAAAGAGGGTGATGGAGGGATGAATAGGATAGAAATATTTCATATGCATGTATGAAAATACAAAAAGAAAACTTGTTATTTTCTGTAGATAACAATGGAGTATAAAATTTTTAAGAGAAATAATAAATGCATAGAAACATTAGTAAGACTGAATTGAGCAGTACGTTCTGTATACATGTGTTCAAATACTACACCATACCCCAGAAATAAGAACAATTAGTTCATGTTAAGTGAAACAAATGATTTAAGAAAATTTAAATTTAAATAAAAACCAGTAAGCTTTACTGTAGGAAATAAATCATAACCATGACCAGAACATATTTCAGTTAGTTCCATTAGTCCTTTCGTGGATTATCAAGCTAGAGGGTCATTTGAGGAATCTCTTGTGCAAACAGGGCTTACTGTGCCTTCTCAGTTGGCTTATACACTCTCAAAGGGGAATGGACACTAGGCCAAGATGAACTTGAAATTTGTGTATGGAAACCAATGCTTGATTTCAGCACTGATATTTTAAATTTATTCATTAGTTATATAACTAATGAGTGATCCTCACCAAAAATTAAACAAAAGTAAATGTATGGACTTGTTTATTATAACCATCCAATTCTGTGTAATTGAGAAAGGAAGCTGGTTTACCTAACAGTTAAGAGAATGGCAGAATCTTCTTGTTAAACCATTAGATCTTGGTGTATTTGTAAAGGACACTTTTATAAACATCTGTATTTCTCTTTAAGATATATTCAGTTTAGATATCAGAGCTGGTCAAACATTGGCAAACTACATTTTTCCTATAAAATTTGCATATCATCATTTCCAAATTAATTCACATTTAATTATACACAATTAACTCTTTGCAATTCTTTCATTTCATTCTATTCACCTGCTGAGTACTTCAATAATGGAGCAGTGTAGGAGTTTGAATAGACAGGACAAACTTGATTTTAAGAAGAATATGGGCTGCCTGCCCTAACCCCTACCATCCTCCTTGTGGCTGGACAGGCATCTAGCAGTCCTTCAGTGTCCTACCAGTGTCTGATGCCTGAGACTGTGATTAAGAAAGAAATCAGACCTGGCTGGAGACATTCAAGCAACTACATTTCCAAAATAGAAAGGAAACTCATGCATCAGAAAAGTGACTAGTTAACATACCAAAAGTATATCGCTGCACAAATACCAAATTTGGATCAGATAAAATAGGTGAAGGAATTCCTTGGAACCTACAACAAACCTACTGAAACCTGCCTTTTGGACTACAGTAAAGGCTTCACAAGAGAAGTAAACCTTGAAAAGATGACTAGTTCAGAACATAGCTTACAGAAATAGTTAAGAATGACACAAAGAATATCTATGAGATTTTTATGGATATCATATTCAGCAGGATGAAAGCCTGGCAGGCAAAGAAGGGCTCCTACCGTAGAGAAGTCCTGTTCAATGAAAGTTTGCCAATGACCATTGCACTGGAAATGAGAATTCACCTGATAAAATCCCCCAAAAGCAATAGGCACCATGTTAAACCATATGTCATGACTACTTGGTAAATGGAAACCAATGGAGAAACAAAATCACTGTTTACCAAGAAAAATCAAAATACAAGATCATTGTTCAGTGAAAAAAATAAGATGCAACATTTGTTGAAGCCATAAGATTCAGCAGCTTGATCACTTGATTAGAGAAATAAACCATAAATCATAAATCTTCATTTATTATTATTAATTTTATAGCAAATTATGTACCAATCCTGTATGATGAAAATAATTTTATTGCTAAAAGTAAAATAAATGTAAGTACCGAAAATGAGAAGAATATGACAAAGAAGCAGGGAATGTAGTGAGACACATTCTCTACCAGTTCCTCACCAGATCTCCATATTTCCTGCTCCTTCCATACTCAGATCATGAAAATGTAAGAGCCTCTCCCTCACACGTCCATGGTCTCTGTGGAGATATTCAAAGAAAGTTTTA